GGCATAGAAATATAATAAATTCAATTCAATTCAATTCAACTCACCCCAGGAAAAGAGTTACACTATTATCGAATAAATGGTGGAATAGAATCAATAAAGGATGCCAAAGGAGGGACAAAATGAAATGTGAATGACAAAAATTAAAATATTTTTTTTTCAAATTAATCTAAAGCAATTTGCCTTGACACAAGTTTTCCGGGGTATATTAATTGTGGTGAGTTGATTGTGGCAAGATGGCTGCAGCAAGATGTCCCATTCAACCTGATGCTGCTCCATGGGGGGAGTAAACCCACAGCAGCTTCTGAAGGGGGGGCAAGCAGCCCCCTCCCTTCCACCATTTCAAGTGTCCAGATCAGGGATCTCCAACCTTGGCAACTTTAAGACTTGTGGACTTTAACTCCCAGAATCCTCCAGCCAGCATAATTTACTCTCTTGTAATCCCTTTCTTTGCAATCTTGCCACTTAGATCATAGGTCTTTAAACTTGGCAACTTTAAGACTTGTGGATTTTAACTCCCAGAATTCCCCAGCCAGCATAATTTACTCTCTTGTAATCCCTTCCTCTGCAATCTTGTCACTTAGATCAGAGGTCTTCCAACTTGGCAACTTTAAGACTTGTGGACTTCAACTCCCAGAATTCTCCAGCCAGCATAATTTATTCTCTTGTAATCCCTTCCTCTGCAATCTTGGCATTTAGATCAGAGGTTTTTCAACTTGGCAACTTTAAGACTTGTGGACTTTAATTCCCAGAATTCTCCAGCCAGCTGGCTGGGGAATTCTGGGAGTTGAAGTCCACAAATCTTAAAGTTGCCCAGTTTGGGAACCCCTGTACTAGAAAAACATTCACGGCCAGGTACCTTGTCCACAAAAGAACCCCAAAATGCAAGACAACTAAATTCCATAGGAAAAAAATACTTTATTTAACAATATACCACGTTCCATCATGGCTCCAGGGAATTCATTTTCCCATTATTACTGAAGACAATGATGTGGCAACTGGGTGAAAGCAGGGGAAGGGATGTCTAAAATGTGACAGAATCAATAGTAATAAAAAAATAAAAATATGCTCCACACCGTTGTTCTGGTAAATTCGGAGTTGTCCACTGGCAACCTCAACCACTGGAGCACCAGGCAGGACTGGGAACATCCTCGCCAAGAAAGGCCCACCATTGCCCACCTGCTGCCAGATGGCCCCTTTTCTGAGCTGGACCCTTCTGGGGAAAGGGGGTGCAGAATCTAAATCCTCGGAGGCCACGCCGCATCCCCACCAGAGTAAGAAAGACTGGCAAACTGCAGACCAGATGTGAAAATACCTCCGGACTGATAGGGGGCACAGGGCACTCTTGGGGAAATGAAATATGCCTTATCATGGGTGCCCCCCCACACACACACAATGCCCCCCACAGACTCCTTGCTCTCAGCCCCTCCTTCCCCGAATAAACCAGAGCTCCTCAAACCTGCCAGGCACCTGGGAAACATGAGCCCAATTGGCCCACCTGCAGGATGGATGGCTTAGTACCAAGAACCATTCCGAGGCAACTCCAAGGCCTACGGAAAGGTGACTTCCAGAGACCTCAGCTGGGGACGGGAGTGTATTTGGCCCCTCAAGCACCAGCAGAGTGCTAGGGCAGGGTTGTCCAAACTTGGCAACTTTAAGACTTGTGGACTTCAACTCCCAGAATTCTCCAGCTGGCATAATTTGACTCTCTTGTAATCACTTCCTCTGCAATCTTTCTACTTAGATCAGAGGTCTTCAAACTTGGGAACTTTAAGACTTTAACTCCCAGAATTCCCCAGCCGGCATAATTTACTCTCTTGCAATCCTTTCCTCTGCAATCTCTCCACTTAGATCAGAGGTCTTCAAACTTGGGAACTTTAAGACTTGTGGACTTCAACTCCCAGAATTCCCCAGCCAGGAGTTGAAGTCCACAAGTCTTAAAGTTCCCAAGTTTGGACACCCTTGCTCTAGGGTATGAAAGAGCAGGGATCCTAGCCCATTTCAGGACTGCAAGCCCTCTGGACTGAGGGCATTTCTGCCTCAGTTCTTTGCTTGGGTGGGGTATCAAGTGAGCCCCTCTGGTGGCCCCCAGAGGTTTTAGGAGAAAGGGGGCATGGAGAGGCCTTTCAGGAGGTGAGCATGCTGGTTACACACCCCAGGTGTGTCCTTCTGCGATAGATGAACTGCACATAGAGACTTATGGTACGACAAATGTTTTAACACCCGTTCTTGTGGTTGGGTTTTCCCCCCCATATTTTTAATTTGTTTTGTTTTCTTTTTCTAAGAAAAGCAACCAGAAAATAATCCAAATTTATACAAAACTTCTTTACATTATACCCTCCAAAAAGACTGGTTATTTACACAAAATAAAACCTCATTTTAAAAAAAGACCCTTCTGATGAGAGAAAGATGAAGCAAAAGGACATTTCAGGATTCAGCAGAGGTGCTAAAAAAAAAAAACCAAGACCCCAAAGGCAGATGGACACCCCACACACCCATTTTACACATTTATTTGGCTGCCCACACCTCAACTACTGGTTTATTTTATGGGGGGGGGGTTGCAGACCGACCCCCTCTGGACCCCAACTTGAGCTTCTGAAGGTTCTTGCCATCCCACTTGCTTCAGCCTCACCCCTCGCCCCCACAAATTGTGTGTGTGTGTGTGTGTGTGTGTGTGTGTGTGTGTGTGTGCGCGCGCATGTGAAAAGAGAAGTCTCACTGGAGAAGATTTCATGCCAGGCAAAATTCCCGACACAAAATGAATTGCCTGCATCGAACTCCTCATGTGTTTCTTATTTTGTTGTTCTGCGTGGAGCAGGAAGGGGGACATCACCCAGGTTTCCATTTCTGCACACCAAGGAAAATAATCCGTGCCGAATTCCTATGATGTCCAGACTGTAAATTGGTTTTCTTGAGTGCCTGCATTAAGGACTGCAGTTGGCATCTTATCTCTCTCCCTATTTTTGCTCGCACCCTGTGTAAAATTTACATGTTTATGCTTGGAATCATACAAACCCTCTTCTCCTCCTCCCCCATCCCCCGTCTCTTTCTTTTCAACTGGGGTGTATGTGTCCCTGTTCCCTTCCCCAGAGGGCTCCAGAGCCCATGAGGGTCAGCACTTCCAACCTTGACCTCTCACACGCCACTTCCACAATTTGGCAGATGGCTAAAAGCCCCTCCTTTCGGGACACCTCTCCCATCTAAGGGCCCCTACCACTGGGTGTAAGATAATAAGGGGCCACGGGAAGAGTCTTTACATTTGGAAAAAAAAAAAGCTGCTACTACTACTACTTACTACCGCTACTAAAAATTACCTGTCGATTATCTGTGGAGCCCTGAGAAACTTGGAATTCTTGGCTGATCTCTACTGAACACGCCTCAAAGTGCACAATTAACCTAAGCCCTTACACAGATGGACAGAGGGATGGACGGACACACCCACTTCATATCCTGCGTATAAATGCTGATGGGGAGGGACCGAAGGGCCTGTCTCTGAGGATGGACAACTGGTCAGACAGGCGGAAGAGCCCCTCTATCCCCACCCCCACCCCACCCTGACTGACTGGACCAGTTTATTGCAAAAGTCGGTCTCCAGAAGGCAGACAGGCCAATGAGGGCTGCACAGGGCTAGCCATGCAATCTTCTCTGGGGTGGCGGAGGCAGACTCCAGCAGTCGGCTGCCAGGCAGAAGGCCGGCCGTGGGGCCTTGCTGTGGGGCCGGTCGGCCTGGGGTGGGGGGTGGGGGGTGGGGGCAGACAGTGAGCTGCAACCGGGTTCGATGAAGGAGGCGTGCATGGAAAGGAGGCGTGGAGGGTGAGACACGCAAGCGCAGAGCAAGAGGCGCAGAGTCCTCTCCGTGCAAAGTAAGGCTTCTGGCATGACAGGTGCAAGGTGGACATGGAAGGGTGTGGAGCCCGGGATGCTGCAGCCAAGCAGGTGTGAGGGGGAATGCCCCCCCTGCTTCATTCCGACCCCCAAGGGAGGGGGAGACTCCCTCTTCAGGGCAGATGGGGGGGACTCTTCCCTTCCCTGGAGGCTTTGGCTGGCACTTGCCCCCTGACATCCGCAACCCACAGGGAGAGCTGAGCCCAGAGGGGCTTTCTTTCCCATGAAGGGCCCTTGCAGGCCACAGGAATCACCATTAGAATTAATATGACTGGCAGGAAGCGAACCAATGAAGAGCTCTGGGATGGGTGGCTGGATAAAAGAAATTGGGGTGGGGGAAGGGGTTTTTGATTACCACATTCTGCAATTGGGCACAAGAGACCAGATCCAAGCAAGGGGGAGGGGGGGTCTGTTGCTCCTCCTCCTCCTGAACCCCCAAATAGCCAAAAGCTGAGCTTCCTTTCACGGGCTTTCTGGAAGGGACTATGGATGCTTTCCCTTCATTCCCCTCTTCTGGGTCACGGAATCGGGAATTCAGGGAGACCCCTGCCCTGGGCATCACAGTCCCCTCGCGCATCTGCGCCACGGCCTGGGAGGGCAGCTGCTCTGGTGGGCACAAACAGCAGCCCACCCCTTGACACCCACTTCTGGTTGGTTTCCAGAACTAGGTTCTCTGACCATTGCAAACTTTGCAGGTTTGTGTTTTTTGTTTCATAAATTAGCAAAAAGAACCAAAATGAAGAAAGGTCCACATTTCTCGCAGCAGACACAGAGCACAAGACTGTCCAGTGGGATGAGTGGATGAGGCCCGAGACGCGGGAAGGGGGAGGGGGGGGAAGGACTGCAGATGAGCTTGTGCTGGGAAACTGCAGGAGGCAGATCACAAGTCCAATCTTTCGCAATTTTTTAAAAAGTTACAAAAAATACTTTAGAATTATAATATATATATATATATAAAAGATGGGGTTAGGCAGACTCCTTTCTCAGCACGCCCAAAGCTCTGCCCCGCAGGGACTGGCATGACCCCGCTCCTTTGGAGTGCCAGGCTTGGTGTGGCTTCCCTCCCAACAATGACCCCTCCCCCCAAATGAAATGATGACGAGGAGCTGGAAAATCTACCCCCAAAGCGCGGCGGCGACCATTGTGGGGCTTCCCGGGTAGGTTCAAGAGCGAGAAAGGCACAGAGCCCAAGTGAGGGCCACAAAGCGCGCTGGGAGTGGAGGGGGCAGCAAGAGGACACCCCACACCCTCAAATCCTGGGTCTGAAAAGCTCCAAACTTACAAGGCTAAATGCTAATCAAGGGAGGGGAGTGCTTGAGGGGGCAAGCAGACCCTCCTCCTCCTCCTCCTCCTCTCGCCTGGCACCTGAAGGGCTTTTGCGGTGGGGGTGGCAAGGTTTGTCCTCAGACCTTGTAATAAATGTTAGCTGGGCTTTGGGGGGGCATCTCCTGGACTATGTAGACTGGGTGCCCGTAGTCTCCGCTGACTTTCTCATAATGAGGGCAGTAGTTGTTCTCTGTAGTCCGCAAAGGGATGATGATGTCGCTGGGCTCGGAGCCGGCATTGCCGCTGCTCTTGGGGCTGGCCAGGGTGCTGAGCGACAGGGCCGCCGCCCGCTGCTGCGTGTGCTTCCGATGCCGTTTTCGGATCTTGATGAGCAGGACAATGAGGAAGATGAGGATGAGGATGAAAATGACGCAGCCAGCCCCGATCGCAGCAAACACGGCCACCTTGGAGCTGAAGAATCCATCAGTTGGTCTTTGGGTATCCTGGCCATCTTGGTTAACAGGGTCTGCAGGTGTGGAAGGAAAAGAGAAATTAAGAAAAGTTGAAGGTGGGACCAGGCAGACGGTCCCCCCTCTGTACATCTTAAGGGGCCCTTCGTGTAGATGGGAATCTTGGTGCCCAACTCCAAATACCTGCACTTTATGAAATAAAGTAAGTTAGAACAAGTAGGCCACCATCTTTTCAAGATCAAAAGAAGCATCTCTGTGGAAAAGGGGTCCCACCCAGTGGGGAAATTCAATTTTTTTTTTACTACTGGTTCTGTGTGCGTGGCTTGATGGGCATGGCTGGGGAAGGATACTGCAAAATCTCAACTCCCTCCCCACTCCAGGGGAAGGATGCTGTAAAATCTCCCTTCCCTTCCCACTCCAGGGAAAGGATACTGCAAAATCTCCATTCCCTCCCCACTCCAGGGGAAGGATACTGTAAAATCTCCCTTCCCTTTCCACTCCAGGGCAAGGATACTGTAAAATTGCCCTTCCCTCCACACTCCAGGGGAAGGATACTGCAAAATCTCAATTTCTTCCACTCCAGGGGAAGGATACTGCAAAATCTCCATTCCCTTCCCCCTCCAGGGAGAAGGATACGGCAAAATCTCCATTCCCGCCCCACTATGGGCCAGCCAGAGGTGCCATCTGCCTGTTCTCCAACCACTCAAAATTTTCGCTATTGGTTCTCCAGAACCTGCCAAATTTCACCCCTGGTCCCTCTGCAAAATGATCTCTTGCCGCAAGGATGACCCAATGCTCCTCCCTCAAGGAGGCTTGGCAAAAAGGGCTTCCTTGGGATTTTAAGGCCCAACTGTCTCAGTTGAGGAACTGAAAGAAAAACGCCACAATATGAACTGGGCTGGGAGGTAAATCGGCAGCCAGTGAAAGGCTGTCCTGGAATCACACCTGGCTGAAATAGGAAGGAAACTGGATTTCTCAAAAGCTTTGGAGTCATTTCTGGAGTGTGCAGGTACTGTCTATTACAGTAATCCATGCAGGACATAACCTGTCCATGGGTCCCCCACCCCCAGCAAGGCACTCCCATCCAGAAAGGAACAAATAAGGGAAGGATCCACTAGCTTTGAAGGAGACAGTTGGATTATGGACATCAAAGACAAGAGGCTACATTTACTGGGTCGCATGTAAATTGAGTTACAACCACTGCCACCACCCTGTTTGTTATAAAATGGCCGTTAATCCCAGAAAAGAAAAGCAACCCTTGGTCTTGCTAAGATTCCATTTACTGGACTCCACACATGCCAGGACCATAAGCCAGAGATCTTCAAAGCTGGCAACTTTAAGACCTGTGGACTTCAACTCCAGAATTCTCCAGCCAGCATAATTTATTCTCTTGTAATAAGAGATCTTTTAGACCCCTGATCTAAGTGGAAAGATTGCAGAGGAAGGGATTACAAGAGAGTAAATTATGCTGGCTGGAGAATTCTGGGAGTTGAAGTCCACAAGTCTTAATGTTGCCAAGTTTGGGGACCCCTGCCATAAACCAAGCAGAAGTTCGAACCTGCACAACCTCATCTCACTCAAAAGACAAAGAGGGTGAGAGAGAGAGAGAGAGAGCAGATGCCCTCTGGATCTCCCACGGCAGCTTCAAATGTATGTTAAACAACACAGATGATCAGATGAAATGTCCCACCACACCTGCTTCATGGACTGGAGCAGAATACCATTCCCACTGCATGGAACACATTGTTCTAATAGGAGCGACACTGCTATGCAAGGCCACCTCAACCCAATCAAGCTGCAGAGAGGAGAGCTTGAGAAGAATCAGGAATGTACCCAACTTCTTCTCTCTTCTGCGACCACAGAGCTGCCAGAATGCAGATCAAAATACAGCCTTACGATTATTTTTCTCCTAACTCCAAGACTCTTGGCCAGAGATGGTGGAGTTCTAGATGAGCATCAGCATCACTTCCAATATCCCCCAGACAAGTCGATCAACCTCCAGGTTGCTAGGAAATTATTCTGTAACCCATCTAGGAGGTACCATTTTGGATAACAAAATGATATGAAAGGAAATCACCAAGGAGCCCTGGCAGCACAGTGGTGAGAATGCAGTACTGCAGGCTAATTCTGCCCACAGCCAAGAGTTCGATCCTCACTGGCTCAAGGTTGACTCAGCCTTCTGTCCTTCTAAGATCGGTAAAATGGGGACCTGGATTGTTGGGGGCAATAGGCTGATTTTGTAAACCACTTAGACAGGGCTATAAAGCGGTATATACAGTAGTGACCAAAATTGTGGAAACCTTTTGGGAAAAGTGTATTTTTGAAGTTTGATTGCTAATACGACTTTTTTTTTTTTTGAGTAACATAAAATTATATATCAATGGAAAGATAATTTAATCAAGAATGTAGTGTAATAACCTTTATGAAGGATTTGCTATTAGAATAGCAGTTATAAAGAAGAAAAGTGAAACATAGAAAAAATGAGATATACAAAAATTATCACCATAGGAAAAATGATTAAATTATCTTTCCATTGATATATAATTTTATGGTACTACTCCAAAAAAAGTGGTGTTATTAGACTTCAAACTTCAAAAATACACATTTTTTTGCAAAAGGTTTCCACATTTTTGGCTACTACTGTAAGTCTAAGTGCGATTCTTATTCCTATTCTTCCAGAAGAATGCCACTTACTTTTCATCAATGGATTAGGATTAGTTAACAGAACAATTAATCAGTGGAACCTCATTGGAGGTTTTCAAGAAGAGACTAGACAGCCGTTGGTCCAGAATAGGGTAGGGTCTCCTGCTTGAGCAGGGGGTTGGACTAGAAGACCTCCAAGGTCCCTTCCTACTCTGTTGTTCTATGACTTCTATACATGGCTTCCCAGGGCTGCACCTATCTACTTTTGCTCATCTTTCATCTGTTTTTTTCTGCTAGAAGGCTGAGGAAACTGCCTGTGGAGAACTGCATCCACCAGAGGTTTGTCCAAGCCTTCCCAACAAGAGGGGAAGGCAGGAGATTCATGGAGGGCAAAGGAGCCGCCAGAGCCAGCAGGAGAACAAGCACAGCTGGTAAAGATCTGGAAAAGCAGTATGTCGATTCAAGAAAAAGCTTCATGAACATCGGCGTGCACAAAACCGAGGTTTAATATGTATCTGGTTGGCACTGGTGCACCTTAAATAGATTTGCATTAAACTTTAATGGGTAAAAGGAATCTAACCATAACAGGTCAACTTCTAGTAGGTTTTTAAAAAAATCCTTTGTTCTTTCAGATTTATCTGGAGCTGTAAGAGGCATTTGGGCTACTTCCCATCCCCATCCCACCCAGGAACCCACCTGGAAGCATCGGCCAATGTCCTATTGGAATCAGCCCTTCTGTCAAGTGAAACCTTCCCTTTTGGAAGAGGGCTAAGCATCCACCCCAAAGGCATTAGAAACGTCCAGCTTCACAGTCTTTGATCATCCTCTTCCTTCTTCCTATCTATCAGGAAGGGGCAAACAGCCAGGGATCTCCTCGGAGGAGGGGGCGACTGAGCTGCCTCCCGCAGAGACGCTGGGGGCTTCCTCCTTCCTCCCCTTTACTCTACATGGGGCTGCCCTTGAAGAGCATCCGAAGACTTCAGCTAGTCCAGAATGCGGCCGTGCGAGTGATCGT